TTCTTGGATTTCCACATGACATCTCAAGGTGGAGTGATTTCGGTTTGAGAGAACACAGCCTAAATATGCAGGATTTGTTTGTAAACGTGTGAATGAAACAAAGCAAAACACAACTTCAGGTATGTCTTTGATGAGAAAACAACATTATAACATGGATCAGAAAATGTAAGTAACACTGTCCCTTTAATGCTTGAAGAAGTTTAAATCTCAATTACTGTTTTGTCTGTTTGTAAATCCGACAGAGTGTACCGCATGGATTCACCTGCTTTGTTTATCTCTCCAGGTGCTGTCCCACTTGACGGTGAAGGAGCGCTGTCTGTGTGCCTCGCTCGTGTGCAAATACTGGCGTGACCTCTGCTTAGACTTTCAGTTCTGGAAGCAAATTGACCTCAGTGGCCTACAACAAGTGAGTGCATCCATACCCACAACACCGCAGGTTAAATGTGGTCAGTAGGGCATGGTATGTTTAAAGGGCCTCTTGAGCTTTAAGTACGGTTAGATTGTTGTTTCCTGATCAACTCATAACCAGAGTTGTTCTGTTTCATTCACACATGTATGAGTAATCCTTTATTATTAGTCTAGCTACATCTCCAAAGCTCAAAATACTCTTACATATTTAGGCTGAGTTCTTCTCTCAAGCGGAAAACACTCTGTTCCACCTTGTGATGTCATGAAGCAGTACTTTTCAAGTTTACAGCTACCTTTTACCTTTTAGTTTAGTATAGATGGGCAGTTCCAGGACTGAAATGATCCAGATGATTATGGTTAAGGTGTATGGAGTTTAAAAACACAGTGGAGCACTTCCTGTATTAACACATGACATGACAAAGTGGAATGTTTCCAGCTTGAGAGAACTCAGTCTAAATATGCAGGGTTGTGTGTTAAACATATGTGAGGAGTGTTTTTAATGACATTATTATTATGACATAGATATGAAATAGCATAATATAGCACTTTAAATCTTGTATTTATTTGTCACATTATAACACACTTTTTTCCTAGTTGCTGTCTTAAGCCATTTTCTCTTGTTTCTCAGGTAAATGATGAACTCTTGGTGAAGATTGCATCACGTAGACATAACGTGACAGAGATCAATATTTCGGACTGCAGACGGGTTCATGACAACGGCGTCTCCACTTTGGCCTCGCACTGTCCGGGTCTCCAAAAGTACACCGCATACCGCTGCAAACAGCTGGGGGACGCCTCGCTCTCATCTCTGGCCACACACTGCCCTCTGCTGGTGAAAGTCCATGTTGGCAATCAAGACAAGCTGACTGACGAGGCATTGAAAAAGGTTTGTTCTTTACAAAGCTTTTATTACACTGATTTATTACATATAAAGTTCTTAACACATTTTATTTTACTAGGAATTACAACACAATCCCTTGCACAATTACTGCAAAATTTACTGACATAATAACTTTAACGAAACCTTCATGTAATGTTATCAAAGTAGCAACAAAGTTCAAAGTTCTCAGTCATAAATATATATAGATATATCTCAAAGGTGCTGTTAATATTCTAAAAGAAAAACTATGACTAGCTCATTTAACAATAAAAGTATTTGTGGCATAATTCCCACAGAAAGTAAAAAGTACCAAAACATTTAATTTATATGCTGTTTTCAAACCTTTATTCTAAAATATGTAATTGTTTTTGCATTTTAACAGTAAGGTCTGAAACAATTTTAAACAACATTTGTGTGAACTGGGAAAGCATTATGGCTTTGGGGGCACAGTGCATTAAAGATTTGCTGTTCTATTTTTTTTTTTATTCAAGCGTAAATTCAAAAATGCAGGATTTATCTTGGAGTTGCTCTTAATCTGAAATGTTTTGTATTTTTGTTTCAGCTGGGAGAGCATTGTGGAGAGCTAAAGGACATCCACCTGGGTCAGTGCTACAGTATCACAGACGAAGGCATGGAGGCCCTCGCTAAAGGCTGCCCCAAACTCCAGAGACTCTACCTGCAGGAGAACAAGCTGGTCAGTCACTCATTTTTATTTTATAATTGTGCCACTGTGAAGAATGGCATTTTGTGTTTTGCTTTCATCGCCAATCGCTTATACAATTTTTCAAAGCAGTTTCAGTTCTCTAGTGTGTTTTGTTGTTGACGACTTTTTGCTTGAGGCCTTGCTTAAAATTATTCTTATCATAGTAGTTGGGTTTTGCATCATCTTTACAATAGAGTTGTCATAAAAGAAAGATACCTAAACACAAATCAATTTTCAAACTTGTATCGAACCTGGATACTCATTTGAGCGGTTATCAATCCTGTAAAATCCAGATAAAATTTGACTTTTCCTGAATATTTTAAAATGGTCTTGATCTTTGTCAGAAGTAGTAGTATCCCTACATGATAATATTAAAGAAACAACACTTATTTTGTGCTGAGAATTATACTAAATTGTCTAAAAAGGTTATTTGTATAATCATCGAAATCTTCAAATTGATGAGAATGTAACAAGCAGACATGGTAGATTTTGAATGAATTACTTTACGTTGCAATTGATGATTTGCATAAACTTAAATGTTGGGTTTGCATATTCGTAAAGAAATTATTTGGCATAAATCTGAAAGACAGAATCTTTACTCTGTTGTTAAGTAAAAGTGCATGAGAAATGTAATACTACTTTCGTTACTCAGACCTAGTTTATCATGACTTTACTGTAGTTTGGACTCTGGATATTGATTTTTGAGATTCATTATTGGCTTTGTCTATAGATTGTTGCGCCGATTTCCAAAACATGTGTTATAGATTTATTTTTAAAGGTTGCTAGGCTCTCCTGGTGTGGTTGCCTTATATTAAATGTTAACTTATGAGAAATGAACAAATTCAAACATCTGGTTTTGGGCACAATATAGGTATTTATTTCTGCTCAAGAACATTTCTAACTGCACTCAGACTTGCAAATATGCATCATAATTGGGACTAAACTAGGACTAAACCTTGACTACAACCACCAGGAGGACCCAACCAAGTCCACATCAGGACAAAACTGGGCTCAAACACAAAATGCTCGAAGTTGTATTGATACCTTGCAGCTGATGTCGTCAGAATTTCCCGGGGGTGTTGCTAACTATAGGCACTGCTCTATCTGAAGCTCTTTTGCTCAAGTTAGACTTAAACTGAGCTTTGATTTAATACAGTCGGACCATAAGAAATAGCTTTAGCTGGAACTGAGAGCTGATTTGTGCTATTAAAACGCTCGTATTTGTGCTCCATAAACGCTCCTATCGGTCACAGGTTTATGAAAATGTGCTGTTTAAATCAATTTTGTATTTTTTTATTTTTATTTTTATTGAGTTATCAGGTTTTTTCAGTCTTAAAACTTTTTTGGCAGTGTTTGTCATTGTGTACGTTGTGTCTCCATAGTAAATGACAGAGGTGGGGACTTGCATGTTGTGACTTGGACTCAAGTCAGACTTGAGACTTGACTTGTTAAAACAGACAAAGACTTGAGACTCAACTTGAAGGTCAGTGACTTGGGACTTGAGTCGGACTTGAACCCTGTGACTTGAGAAGACTTGATGCTTAGACCGGTTAACAAATTAACTGTTATTAAGCACTCTTAAATTTTAACTCTTTCTGTTTTGACCGTAATAATTTGTCAAGACATTTAAAAAAAGAAAAATTAATGTCTACAATGCTTATATAAATACTCCTGACATTTTAAGTACAATTTAGTTCGAAATTCATATAAATGGCAAAAATCTAAGCTATATTTTGGTTTAAAGACTTGAAATGAAGCTCAAAGCAGACGACTTGGACTTGACTTGGACGTATGGGTCAGTGACTTGAGACTTGACTTGGACTTGCCTGTCTTTGACTTTGGACTTGACTTGGACTTGAGGTCAAAGACTTGAGACTTACTTGAGACTTGCAAAACGATGACTTTGTCCCACCTCTGGTAACTGATGAACAGTTCGTCATACACACACATGTAGAACACCCCCAGCATGATGTCATTGCAAAGTATCAATACTGCTACTGTACATTTTACAAACTAAGATGTTCAGTGTTGATTGTAAAATACGATATGCCCACTAGGTGTCACTCTTTGTTTCTCACTTGCTTTGACATGTTTGTGGTGCACAGTTTCACAACTTTGGTGGTTTAGATTTTCATGTATACATATTTCTTTCTGTATTAAAATAAACAGTTAGTATTGCGTCGCCCGACTCACACACTTTGTTTATGAAATGTGTGATTATTTTTTTGCGGAAGATTAATATCTCTGAAAAATGTTTTAGCTCAGCATTATCGGTTTCATCCAGTCATTTTTCAGCTGTAGCTTTGTTGTAGTTTTTCTGGTTTCTTGGCATTCGGTCCCAGTGAGGGATGAGTCTTTATGAGTCTTGCAGTGTCGGGGAAGTTTGAAATGCCTGGGCTAAAGTCTTCATCACTTTGCCAAGATTTGAAATGCCAAGGTTATATCTGACATATTTTTCCGGATCGTGTTTATTTTAAAGACATCTGAAGTAAGGCTCCACCATAGACTGTAGATAAAATGGGCATAGTTGAGCATGGGGGGTGATTCGAATTGTCATCCCTTTCACGCTGAAACTGCTGCAGTGAGCTTTTATTTCACTAATTTATCCATAAATACATTTCCATTCCTAATATTAAACTCAGCTAGAAATTCACCTTATAACAGCTACCCTCGATGTGCTTCATTTGACTGGAACTGAACGCTTTGGGTGACGTTGCACTCCTTTAGTCCACTTCTTTATACATGTTCTACCCATGGATATTATTTTTTTTATAAATTTTTTGCAAATGGTTCAGTTTTTGCTAAATCAAAGCATCCAAATTACTAAAAAGTAAAAATAAACAAATACATAAATAAAATAAAATAATAAGTAATAAATAAAATGATTAATAAAAAAAAAATAATAATAATAATAATAAAAAATAAAATATAATAAATAAAATAGATAGAAGAAAAAAATACACTAAAGATGAAAAAATAAATAAATAAATAAAAATAAATAAACAAAAATAAGTATATCATATAAAAATAAACAAAAATTAACATAATAAATAAAATATCTTGTTCTACTCAGTATAATAACCACTCTCAACTTGTGGATTACCAAAGCAGCCTCATTTGGTTTGTGATAAATTAGTTTAGGTTGAAAATGGTTGCATTTCAGATCCAACAATTTGTCTAAACAGTATTAACTTATTTGTGTTTATGCTTTGTAATTTAGTTTAATTTAGTGTAATTTAAACCACAAATTGCTCTGTTAGAAGGTCTCTGGCTTTTCTAACTATCATTGTAATTTATAAAATCAGACATGTATTTAAAATCACAGAAACATTTAGATTAGATTTCAAATGCACTGATTAAAGTATTAATATATTCACAGGCTAATAAAAAGAAAACAGAACAGCACTATCCATTACAGGGAATTCCCATATCTGTTTAACTCAATTTAGGAAACCTTGGCAGCAGTTTTGAGCTATAAGCCTCTATTGGGATTTGCCATTTTTATTACTTTATTTCATTATTTATACAAATCATACGTATCAGGGACAACCTTGATAGCTATTATTTACAGGAAATTCTGCAATGGATAATAAAACTATGAAAATTTATAGGTTGAGTTTCTCCAACATACAACACAGATCCTTATGGTTTAAAATGGAGCAGGAGGACAGGTCAGGAAATCTATGGTGGAATTTAGTTTTTAGCTGTCAGATTGAAGATTTGTTTTACTGGTTTATGGTTAATATTTCCGTAATTACTGGGTCTATCCACATGAAACATAAAATGAAAAATGAAATGAAAAACACAAGGTCAATTTGGTTTTTTGCTTCAGAAACCATCATTCCCAGTAGTCTGAAATGTCTTAAAACAACCAATAGCTATTATATCTTTCATTGTAGATTTGTAGATTTGTAGCTTTATTAATTTTCTCTTAAAGGCGCTTTCAAATGTGAAAAACTGAACTAGTCCATTTTAAACAGTTTGCAATGGTCCGAAGTTACGCTTCACTTCCTCACTTTATGCATTCTTGCCATCCTAATTATTCACAACAATGAGTTTATAAGCAATTTTCACAACTGTCAGAGACCAGAGCGTGTTTTGCTGTGACGATAATGCTTACAAAAATGAGCATGCTAATGGCGCACTTCCTGATGTAGGGGTCAGGACAAATTTTGCTCAAATACATGGAAAAACAAGATTTGCTGTTTAACTGTGTAGTGGACCAATCAGAAAGGCAAACACAAGGTATAAAAGTAAGGATACATTTAATTAAGTCAAAAAAAGGATGTAATTTAACAGAGGCACAAATTAGGTAAATCATTAAAAAGTCAGACCCAACTCCGGTAAGAACAAAACTAACCCAACCAGACAAAGAACAGGGTTGTTTAAATACATGAAGACCAACTAAAACTGAACACAAGAAGGGGTAATTACACTAAATCATTAAAGTAACAAGAAGGCAATTAAGTTTAATACAGAAAATAATAAGTGATAATAAAGTGACCTTAAACAAAGTAGACAAACTAACTTAGTAAAACAAACTAAATAGTGCTCCCGCCTTTGTTTGGCGTGGATGGTCTGTGCCAAAGGTCCTCCGTCTGGCAAACAAAAAAAAAGAACAAGTGTAAGTAAATAATTCAGACTTATATTAAATAAAATGTGTGCATCTAAATTAGAATATAAGTCTAATTAAAGGAATTAAATGAATTTATATGCTGTAATTAACTTAATGTAAATGAAATGAAATAATACTAACGCTGTGGAGTGGCGTCAGAGGTATTCACCACAAACTGTCAGATTGCATATTTGTTGGCCTGGTTTATTGTTAATATCTTAGTAATTATTACTTTTACAATTGTGTCAGAAAATGGGGCCTTTATTCAAAATATAATACACCACATACGAAGCAAAAGGTGGTCATTTGAGGATTTGGTTATGAAATATAAAAAAACAACAGCTTTTTTTTTATTGCTACATAATTCCAGCCACCT